ATCGATTAATTCTTTAAAGTTTCGTGTCAGTATTGGTTTCGATTGTACGTGAAATTTATATCGAATTAAATAATCGTAATCCTTAATTAATTTAGTTGAGATTGATAAAATTTGTTCGATGTTAATTTCTTGTAGTATCTTGAAAGATTTTATATTACTTTTGATATTAAAATAATTTTAAAACGACGTTATTTATGGAATAAGCTAATATTATTATATTAAAATTTGAGTTTAATTTGATTATAATTATATCATTATAGTATAAAATATAACAGAGGTTGTACAATAATGATATACATATAATAATATACAATAATAATAATAATATACAATAATTCAATTTCAATAGATTTTATCAATTGAGAAGAATATTCGATAGAAAATTTCTTAACAATTTTTTAATAATTTCTATCACGATTCTACAATCTCAAACTATTGCATTTCTATCTATCTATCTATCATTCACAAATCATTGAATTATTCATTCATATTTCCACCTGCTTTACTTTTCCCTAAATCCAAGACTTTCTCGTTCACCAATCTTAATTTTTTTCGTACACGGTCCATTGGCGGCATTGACATTATCGAAACCTTTCATGCACGAAGGGAAATTTATTTTATCGAGGGAGAGGGGGTCAAAGAACGGTTGGCCAATAGGGTGTCACGTGAAAATGTCACGGACAGGCTAAATGTGTATCTAAAAGTGCACGAACAAGGGTAAAAAAAGAAAGAAAGGGTGGAGTGAGAGAAGGGAAAACGATGTTCCCCGGTGATTTGTGGAAAACAAATAATTGTCACCGGTGCCAATCACAGGCCTCGTTGGTCGAATCTTCGAGGGACGGCCACTGTCTCAGGGTTGCTTCTTGATGAAAATCTGTCGATTTATTCCCCGTCGTCCCTTGTTCCCCACGGCTGTCTCGCGCCAGGCTTATATTTAAACGAATAGAGGTTTATCTCCTGGCTTGGCTTCCTTTCTTTTCACCACTTGGAAATGCGGATTCCTGATCCCTTTTACGAGAGGGAAAATTTAAAATTGAATCGTCCCACCTCTTTTGAATTAAACGCGACACCGAAAATAATACTGGAAATTAAATCTGGAAAAAATAACTTCCCAACTTCGTTTATCTCGAAAATTTTCCATTCCCCTCAAACATATATTCCATTTCCATTCCCGCGCACTTACATTCACAAAAATTTAAATTCAATATATGAATAATCTAATCAAAAAAAGTCTCTTCAACGATTAATCGCATCAAAAGATTTAAACGCAAGATTCAAAGATAAATTTTCCGACAAGATATCGATATACAAAATAAACGATGATTTCTCTTCTCCCGAAAGATCAAAATCCCTCTATCGAATCTTGCTGCTCCTTCCCGAGGCCAGACTCGGAAAACTCGATTCGTTAGTTAAAAGTCCTTGTTGCACGCGCAACTTTTAAACGGAAGCGGAAACACCGAGCGAAGTTCCGCCTCCGGCTCTCTCTCTCTCTCTCTCTCTCTCTCTTCCCCTATCCGTATTTGTCTCCGGTTATATTACCGCGCCACCAAGCGAAGGATTCGAGGAGAGGAGCAGCAGACGTAATCATCGAACTTCCGAAACTAGAGGACGATCGTTACTCCTCTCGGTTGGACCGAGAAGGGAGGAGGACCGTTGCACAACCGTCGGGTCCTGTTGTTCCATCCTCTTCCGCCCGCTTCTTATCAGCGGTCGCAGACATTAAGACGAAGAAAGGAAGAAAGGATGGAAGGGGGAGAGGGGGCACTTGAAAAGGCGGTCGCGGCCTCGACAAAGGACGACTTTCGCGGTCGCCGATAATTGGACGGTTGGGATGGAAAGAGAAGGAGGGAAGGAAAGAGAGAGAGAGAGAGAGAGAGAGAGAGAGGAGGAAAAGAGAGGAAAAAAAATTAAAATAGTCGAGACGACAGGAAGCGGCGGTGTAGATGATACTCTCTCTCTTTCTCCTCCCCTTTCCTTGTCGGTTGCTCGGCCACCCCTTAACGCACCCTTCCCCCTCCTACGTTCCGTTCTCTCTTTCTCTTTCTCTCTCTTTACCTATCTCTCTCTCTCTCTTTCTCGCGCGCGCGCCAGTTTCGCGCTTATTATCCGAAAGTTCCAAAGTGAAACAGAGTGAAACTCTGTCGGGTGTTGAGAGAACTTTTAACAACGCCACGAAGGCACGAATTCGTGGATGTCTCTTGTGTCACGCTATTGCCACGGGGGATGGAACGTGACGGGGGAGGGGAGGAGGGGGAAAGATTTTGACGGGGGAAAGGAACGGGGTTGTGTGTTGAACGGGGGAAAGAAAAGTCGGGAAGAAAGGAGGGGGGGAAATAATGAGTGAACGTAAAACGTGTGGAAATGTGAAGGGGGAGGTTGTGCGTCGGGGGTTGTGATTCGAGTGACGTCGACAAATTGATCATTTTGATTGGAA